CGGGGACCGCAGCGAGCTGGGGGGCCGGAGGGCGGGCGGAGGAAGAGAAAGTCCACGTCCGCGTAGCGAAGGTGGAAACTTAAAGGAAAGGGAGAAATGAGCCTGCCGCATGCGTGTTGTTGATCTGCACGAATCCCGATGACCCCGGGTTGAATTAGGAAGGCGCCCCAAGCAAGTTCTGTAATATAACGATGAGTGAATGAAATGTGCTATGGGAACATGTCAGTGTGTGAATGAGGACACGTGCACTTAAAAAGAAATATCTTATTGTCTGTTTATAGGTGTTTTTGGGAGAATATATAGGAAGAGTGTTTGTGTCTTCGAATAATGTATAGATAATGCATAGACAGCTGCATTTAAGTGTGTACCAGAAATATGTACATATGTGTAGGCATGTATCTTTATGTGCCTAAATGTAAGAGGTGTGTGTGTGTGTGTGTAAGATTCCCATGGACTTCTCTGAGTTTTCATTTATGTGTATGTAGATGAATTTGTGGGTTCATGCATGTGACCCCACATCCTTGACTATGTATTGTTTTAGTGTGGCTGTATTGTATGTATTTGTGTATATGGGATCACATGTGTTTTGTGAGATCGTATTCTGCTTGTGTATATGTGTTTGTGTATAGGAGTACATTTGTGATCAGTCTGTGACCAGAGCTGCTGTGTATCTTGACAGGTGTGTCTTTCATGAGTGGGAGTGTATGTGTTTTTCAGAGTCTATGTGGATATGATTCTGTATGTGTCTTGATGTACCTTTGAAGCCACCCACAGTTCATCTTCAGTAAAGGCCACATAGTTCTTAAAGGTTGGGCTGGTCACTGGGCGCATGTCTGTAATCCCAGCAGCTGGTGAGGCTGAGGCTGGGGGATTGCGGGATCAAAACCAGCTTCAGCTAAAGTGAGGCACTAAGCAACTCAGTGAGACCCTGTCTGTAAATAAAGTACAAAATAGGGCTGGGGATGTGGCTCAGTGTTCGAGTGCCCCTAAATTCAATCCTTGGAACCTAAAAAAAAAAAAGTTGTGCTGGTCAATGTGGCTTCTTGGAGGAGGAAACCCTTGGCAGGTGGGGACTGTGCAGGTAGGCAAAAGCCCTGCATGCCTACTGAGCAGACTGTCCAGAGCAGTGGGTGGCGAGGTGAACAATGCAGACTGTAGCAAGACAAGGGAAGGCCTTGAATGCCAGAGCAGGTCACTGGGGCCTCCTCCAGCTTCCTCTGCCTTCTCAAGCTCTTGATCTGCTTCTTTTATAGTTTACCCTTGTCCATGCTCTTTGGCTGAGCAAATGTCCTTGGTACTTACCAATGGCAACATTAAAGAGGCACTACTATATGCCTGCCTCCAAAAAGCACTTAACAGGCCTTGGGTCCTCTATGAGGCAGAAACTAAGCCCAGTTTTAAAGAAGGGAAGAGAGGTGGTTAAGTGCCTGTTCACAGTTACACAGCTGGGAAGGGTGCCTTAGATTCCAGAAGCTCCGTGCTCTCTCCACCACTGTGTCTAGAGACACTTCCAAAATCATCCCAGATTGAGAACCGCTGTGCTGGACTAACCTGCCTCCTTGGGTAAATGTTTCCTTAGGGGCTTCACTAACTTTGCTGTGTCCAGTGGCTTCAGCTGTCTTCCTTTCTGTGGGAGCCGTACTTCCACACACAGTGGACCTTGTCTCTGCCACATGCAAACCAGAGGCTTACAGCTGGGCCCCTTTAACCCAGCAACTCAACCTCTCTGTGCCCCAGCTACAGAAAATAGGGCTTGACACCTTGTGGACACTTCACTCTTAGTATCATGCAAATGACAGTGTGTCCCTGAGGTCAGAGCCTGGAGGAAGCACACCCAAGCCAGCTGACTTTCTCTGGCACATAGCCGTGGATGCTGCTTGAAGTTTGCTTTCTTAACTCAGCAAGAACACTGTTGCAGTGTTGGGCCCAAACTGGTCCCATTTTATGTTGTTATTAGAGGTTATACAATTTCATTTTTGCAAATAAAACAGCTTGGCTTTCCTTCCGGCAGAACCTGATTTTAATGAGCAAGTCCTGCGTTTGTGGCCAGAGCAGGTGCTCAGGCAGGGCAAGCCGGAGCCATCTGCAGGGCTGTCAGTGTGTCCAAACCTGGGCCCAGGCCTGGGTAGGGAGTCAGTGCTGCTGCAGGGCCCACCCCACCTGGCAGGGCAAGGCGTGGGGTGGCACAAATATTAAGAGTATGGTGACTCTGTCACATGTGCAAGAGGCCTGAGACTCCCACTATTGACAAAATACAGGGGACAATGCTGGGAGGACTTCCATGCCACTGCCGGTTCCTCTGGGGCACTTCCTTTCTACTTCCCCTCAGTCCCTGCAGCCTTCCTCGTGTTCAGTGGGCCATCCGCTGCAGTCCTCCTGGAAGACCAGAACAAAGTGGTTAAAAGCAATGGTTCAGGTGCCTGATGACCCTAGGACAGGCAGGTCACCTCTTTCTGTCTCAGCTTCCTCATTTCTATAGTGGAGTTACTCAGAGATCATATCTCATGGGATTAAATGAGATAGTCTGTGTAAAGCATGTTGACCACATGGTAAGCCTTTAATAGCTGGAGAGTAACCCAATATTGCTATTATTCTTGGTTAGCAGTAAAATGAGAATAAGCATTGATAATTCCAGGCACTGTGCTAGACTCTGGACAGATCCTTTCTCATTGGACCCCCCAACAACACTATGAAAAAGGTTCTATGTGATCCCCAGAGCTGGGAAGAGAAAGCTCAGGTATAGTGGTATTAAGTAACTCACCCTGGGGGACAGTGAAGAAGCAGCAGTTCTGCATCTGAAACAACTGTCACCGCAAAGCCTCCATACCTGCTTCTCTCCACCAAAAGCTGATTTCACCCTGGGCAGAAAGGGTCCATCTCCAGCTGGGGTGTCCTGGGTAAGCTTGAGAGGAGTAGGAGGGTTGGCCCCAAGAAATTAAATGTTCTCTTTCCAGCTATTCATGGAACCATAGTGACCCTGGTCTTGTGGCCTCTGAGGGGTACCGCCAAGTTTTTACTAGTGCGTAAAGTTTATTTTTGTTACAAGGGTATAGATTGTTCTGGTGCTCTTTGTTTGAATTGGACTGCAGGAAAGGTACAGAAAACCACCAACCTGCTGCTGGTAAATTAGATGCCAGGGAAAGACACGTGTTTACCTGGAGCTGTGAGGACTCGGCCAGGTGAGTACACACAGGAGACGGTCTATGAAGAAGGGTTAGTTCATCCAGCGTAGATGCCAAAGGGAATCATTTGATAGCTCTTTGTTTTTTTTTTTTTAAAGATATTCAAGGCATTCTTTCCCCTTGTACTGTGATAGTGTGGTTGTATTAGTGATTTATTGCTGTGTAAACAAAGTACTGCAACGCTTAACGGCTTAAAGCAATCCTTTTTTTAACCTTGTCATTTCTCTGCATCAGGAGCAATACTTTTTTAACCATATCGTTCCTGTGCCTCAGGAATTTTAGGAGTGATAGAGCGTGGGGTCTCTTATGAAGTTGCAATAAGATGTCATCCCGGCCTAAGGTCATCCGAAGGCTTGACTGGGGCTGAAGGATCCACTTCCAAGATGGCGAAGTCAGGTGGGTGGTCCGTGGCAGGTTTTCACTCCATGGACCTCTCCACAGGGCTTCTTAGATGTACTCATGACATGGAGATGGGCTTCCCCCAGAGCAAGGGAGCCCACGTCGTCCTTACACCTAGCTTCAGAAGATGCACAACACCATTTCCTGAACATCTTGTTGATCACGCAGTGGGCCCCACTTCATGGGAGGGGAGCACACAGGATGTGAATACCCGGAGGTGAAGGTCATGGGGCCATCCTGGACGCCGGCTATCACAGTGGTCATCATTGCTGACTTGTTTACTATTATATGGAAGGTTCTAAATTTCAAATCAAATCTAGTATTCAACAGTGGGCTGCAAGCACCCAGAGTCGAAAGCCGCCGGTCCAACAGCTTTATTTTTGCTGGCGTTAGCTGATGAACCCTTCCTGTGCTGTTCCCTTGGATTCATGACTTGACCAGGGTCCCTCCATGTTCCAGCAGATAAAAGCCCTGTAATGGACACCCAAACACTGTGCCAACAGCACCTGAATTGAAGAGGATGAATTTTGATGGAGTACAGGATGACAGAGCTCTGTTAACGGGAATCAGGTCCTCTGCCAATGTTGACCTGTTGCTTTAATCTCAGTAAAGGTAGCAATAAATGGATAGCTCACATTTATTGAGCTCCCATTATTGCCAGTCTCTGAAGTTTAGGAGTGATAGAGCTTGGGATCTTTTCAGAACCTTCAGTTCTTTGTCCAGAACCTTGTCCAAGGACCCACAGGGAGGGGAGTTGGGCTCAATTTCAGGTCTGCCTGCTTTCAAAGCTGAACTGTTGATAACTTGCTGTTTTTGCTTTAACCTGTAATGATCCACACATTACATTGTTCTACTTCCTTCCTCTCCATCCCCC